TGGCTGCTTTTTTGTTGGCATTTCACCTCTGCATGCTTAGGGACAAAGATTATATCATAATGACAGACCTGTGTAACCAGAATAGATCTAGGCCAGCCTGAAATAGCCCTGTAGTTTTACAGCCTGAAATAGCCCTCAGTCTGACAGCCTGAAACAGACCTGCAGTCTGACAGCCTGAAATGCCCTGCAGTCTAACAGCCTGAAAGGCCCTGCAATCTGACCGCCTGAAATAGCCCTGCAGTCCTACAACCCTGAAATAGCCCTACAGTCTGATAGCCTGAAATATCCCTGCAGTCCAACAGCCTGAAATAGCCCTGCAGTCCTACAGCCCTGCAGTCTGACAGCCTTAAAATTAATAACCCTGCAGTCTGACAGCCTGAAACAGCCCTGCAGTCTGACAGCCTTAAATAGTCCGAAAGTTTGACAGCCCTAAATAACCCTGCAGTCTGACAGCCTAAAACAGCCCTGCAGTCTTACAGTCTAAAACAGCCCTGCAGTCTGACAGCCTTAAATAGTCCTACAGTCTGACAGCCGGAAACAGCCCTGCAGTCTGACAGCCTGAAACAGCCCTGCAGTCTGACAGTCTTAAACAGCCCAACAGTCTGACAGCCGGAAACAGCCCTGCAGTCTGACAGCCGGAAACAGCCCTGCAGTCTGACAGCCGGAAACAGCCCTGCAGTCTGACAGTCTTAAATAGTCCGAAAGTTTGACAGCCCTAAATAACCCTGCAGTCTGACAGCCTAAAAACAGCCCTGCAGTCTTACAGTCTAAAACAGCCCTGCAGTCTGACAGCCTTAAAGTCCTACAGTCTGACAGCCGGAAACAGCCCTGCAGTCTGACAGCCTTAAATAGTCCGAAAGTTTGACAGCCCTAAATAACCCTGCAGTCTGACAGCCTAAAACAGCCCTGCAGTCTTACAGTCTAAAACAGCCCTGCAGTCTGACAGTCTTAAATAGTCCTACAGTCTGACAGACGGAAAACAGCCCTGCAGTCTGACAGCCGGAAACAGCCCTGCAGTCTGACAGCCGGAAACAGCCCTGCAGTCTGACTGCCTGAAACAGCCCTGCAGTCTGATAGCCTGAAACAGCCCTGCAGTCTGACAGCCTGAAACAGCCCTGCAGTCTGACAGCCTGAAACAGCCCTGCAGTCTGACAGCCTGAAACAGCCCTGCAGTCTGACAGTCTTAAATAGTCCTACAGTCTGACAGCCGGAAACAGCCCTGCAGTCTGACAGCCGGAAACAGCCCTGTAGTCTGACAGCCGGAAACAGCCCTGCAGTCTGACAGTCTTAAATAGTCCTACAGTCTGACAGCCTGAAACAGCCCTGCAGTCTGACTGGCCTCTACAGCTGCCTGCTTAATCACAGCTTCTGACCCATGGACCAAAAGACCCACTGTTTATTTATGGAATCACAAATAAAGATAACAAGAGCCGTCAACAGGACAGTGTGCTTGACTATTCTCAGTGCTTGATAGTATAATAACAGCACCGTGAATAATGTAACATCAAATTGCCAAAAATTGCCAGCTAGCAGAATAAGAATTCCATTACAATGCCCAACAGTCATGTACAAGTTGACCTGGCTACACAATTTTGGAATAGGAAATTTCTTTATTGATTGTAGCATTCAAAGAGTTATCGTAGTTATTTTTTTACGTCTGTTACTTCATTATCGACAGCCAATTGTTCAGAAAATAAAAAAAACAAATTCACGTCTGCTTCTAGAGCCATGATTAATAGATAAGTTTTTCACGTCTGCCAATCAGTCTATTGGTTATATAAGAAAGACCTGATCAATAATTCCACTAGTGTCTGTGTTCATTAATGCAAACTTATTCGAGACAGTTTTATTCTGTCTCGCAAGGGTGGGGGGGGAGGTTGGGATAGACGGACATGTAAAGTTTATAAAATATGTATAAATCATAATCTGCCATACCATAAAATGAAAAAGAAGAAATTTTTCCACACAAAAATATGTCAACAACAAATATTCGAATGCTTGTTTAAATAATCAAAGGGAAATAATTCATGACAATTTCTTGATTATCTGGTGCATGCTTTTTGTGTTGTTGGTCTTCTTAATTTTTAACTTTCATATTTTACCTGTACAAAAATGTTACTGATAAATACAGCCATTACAATGAATTAAGTCCAATTTAAGGAAATCTCATATGGTCTTTGAAGAAAAGTGCTCACCCAAAACCAAGGTGTTTTTTCTTTCTAAAGCATGGACTGTTTTAAAGACTGAAAAATCTTTAAAATCATATAGTTGTTTGTTAACCTTTTCCCTTATATAAGCGTGTTTCGACGGCTTTTTGCCCCCCCCCCCCCTTTTGAGGCCTCAAACAGTGAAAAAATGCCCTATTTAGGCCCCAAACACTGTTTTTCGTTTGAGAAATGTTGTTAAAAAAATTGACCATTTTTTCGGCGCCGTCCCCCATCCAAATATTACATCAGGGGGTTTCCAGAAGGGGGATGTGCCCCCTTCTGTTTGGCGGGTTTGAAGGGGGGCGGAGTCCCCCTCATCGCCAAGAAAATTTTGGACTTGTGAGAGGCTTTAAATGACCCCAGGTCGATCATAAGATAACGTGTAACCAACGCTGAAAAGCCTTTGACTCTATCTCAATCCCTTGAGAAGTTGCAGCACTTTGAAATAAATTTTGATGGAAAAAATCGAGGCAAAAAAGTGATTTTTGGCAATTTTGAGATGTCCCCTCGTTGCCATGGTAACAGGAAATTTAAGACTGAGCATGTCGTTACAAAGGCAATGGTCCAGTCAACATTTGTGCCAAGTTTGATTAGTATTGAAGCATTTTTCATAGTTTCATAGCAGTTTGAACTTGTGAGAGGAGGCTTTTCTGTGAAAATGGCCATTTTTCACAATATGCTCATGGGGGAAAGGGTTAAATTCAATTTATAAAACAGTTTTTCTACCAGTTAAGCAAAAATACTTTGTCAATTTCAACTAAATTTAAATGAAAGGCCTTTTCCATACCTGTGAAAAAAGCCCTATATGCATTTTACCAGGGATTTTGGTCTATTATGAGAAGTTTGACAAATAAAGTCTTAATGCACGTGTTTGGCTGAATCACTGTTCTAACTTACATGCATATACAGAGAGGTGACAAAGAACAATGACTGTACTGTATAAAGAGGACTTGGGCCAAAACTATATAATAACCTTAATATATAAATAATCCAACACAGATCAACAGACATATTTTAAAATTTCAAAACTGTATTTAAAAATCTTCAGAATTTCAAAACCAGAATTTTTTCAAATTATGTTCTCCAAGTAGTTCAAAGGGAAACAACTGTTGTTTTCTTGTAATTCAAATGCAGCATTGTAGTTACCCCCCTTGAAACAATCAGAATGCCAACACAATGAGCTGTATGGTATATTTTTCAACTGGTACAGCAAGATACTAAGCACCAACTTTTGTCATAAAGCTTTAATACTAAATGAAAGGAGGACAGAAAAAACCCAATCAATTCCAGTAAATTTATGTATGCCATATGATTTTTCCAATTGTTTACAGACGGATGGATAGACAGACAGACAGACTACCATACAACCAAATTTTTATAAGGGGTAATTTCTTTTGTTATTTTCTTTCGTTTAATAGAGAGTCATTGGCCCTTTCTTCTTTTGTTACAAAAAATCTGTTGTTCGATGGACCCCTTTTTCTTTTCAGTAGCGTGAATGTACAGAGAACACCATACTATAATATGTCCTTAAGATTCTTCAGGTATATAAAAATCAATTTGAATAAGTTTTGCTAAATCAGGGTCATAAATGGGATATTACATAATAAATTTGTGACAAATTACCAAGGTGCTTAAATTCACAAGACAACAGATATTCTTAGAACGTTCCTTGGCTTTAGTTTTATTTTAGTTTTTTAGTTATGCATAAAAAAAATCTTAGAATACTATTTTTTTGCTTAATCAGACAGTATAACTCTGCCAATTTCCTATAAATTTGTGTAAAAATATCCCAGTGCAAAAGTTCACATGCTGACAAGTATGGTTTTATCCACAACACAATACAATGAATTAGTCTACAGAAACAAAGTAGGGAATGGTGATGAACAAACATGGGAAAATCGAAATCCCCTATCAGTGTTGGGTGCACAAAAATCTTAGATGTACTGTATTGAATATAGTACTGCAGTAGCTGCTATATCAGTTATATAATACCAATGCTATATAAGATTTTCAAATGACATGAATTTTAAATACAAGATCTGGTTAAACTATTGCCAGCAGATATAAAGCTTTAGAGAGATAATTTAGAGAAAAGAATATATTAAGGGGAATACAAAAACTCATGGCAGGAAATGGTAGCAAGCATAAATAATGGAAGACTGACAAAACCATACATGTATAAAACTAATGTGTGGTGTTTTGTCAAGTCTATAAAATTTTGAGGTGTGGAGTTTTGACATTCGTAAATGATATAAGGGGTCATAACTCTTGTGTTTCTCACAGAAGTATCAGAAATTCACAGTAACCACATGAATTTTAAGTTTTAACTAAGTTTTCAAAACATTTTTTCTGCATATAACTTCAGACCATTAAATGGGACTGACCGACAAATGCCAAAAGGTAAAACGTGTCAGACTGACACAGTAAAAGAAATGTGGCATCAAAGCTTTATGTTTGTCTGTTTTGGATTTAACACCCATTTTAACATACTTTTTATCATATTACATTGGTCATTCCACCTAACCACTTTTCCTGGATAACTAACCAGTATATTATTATTACCCAAATCTCTGCAAGTAACCGACAACTAATCCTGCATGATTTATGAATCAACGATGACAGAAAAATAACCTTATGGCTCAATATCCAAGATTAAGCTTTAAAATTGTTGGAAAACCTCAGTATTATCTCCAGTACAACCAACACCATAAGTTAGCTTCACGACATTCTCACATTAAAAATCTTAAGTCTGTTACGGATTTCAAACCAACGACAGAAACAGGCAGAAAATCATTATAGACTAAGGTCAATATTTACCTTGCCATCATTAGAATGCAGTAATTCCTGCACCTCGTCCACCTCTACGTAGCACACAGGGTAATATATCATACGATGAGGCGGCACAGTGTCTTGTCTAAACTTGTAATACAACTCCTGGAATAAAAGTTTAGTGACAGACAATGTCAAACTTCTTCATTCAATGTAAAACAATAAGAATTCAAAAAATTTCATATTTTTTTTTTCATTTATAAGTCATAACATTTTGTTAATTTTGCGAATTAAAAGATTTTCTGTGAAAAAAGAATGTTTGCTAGGTATGTCTATCATATGAATTAAACAGAACTGAAATAAAAAATTTATGAAAGTAAAATAATTTCAGTAGTAAATAAAATATGATAATACACGCAAATTCTTGTCCAAATATAAAGCCGAAAACCAGTTTTTATTAAAATGTTTGTAATTGTATATATTGTTTGCATTGGCCGGAGGCCTTACACCGAATAAAAGTTTGTTGTTGTTGTTGTAGTATGGTATTGCAGTGTAAGTATTATACTGGTGCCAGGGTGAGGTTTGGTGCGCCCACTATTTAGTCATACAAACAAGACATATCTCTAAAATTGATGAATAATCCTAGACATTGCACTTGTCAATATAAATGCAAAATATGTAAGAAAATGTCAATATCTATTTTTAGTATCATCGACCTTGAAAACTCCAACCATCCAAATATGAAGGAGATCATTCAGTAAATAAAAGCTGTATGAGCAAACTTGTATTAAATCATTAATGATCTTGACCTTAGTGACTTAAACTCCACCCCATGTTAGAGGACCTCCAATGTAAATGGAAGTTTTTGTTAATAAATGAAGTTGCAAAAAGTACCGGGAAAAGCACGACCAAAGTACGGAAGGGCAGTGTTGCGTTCTTAAAAAATGACCCTCAGGAATAATAAAAAATTCAATTATTTTACCTTATCAACAGTTTTCTCCCTTTTTTCATCCTTGGCGTTATCCTCCAGTGATTTCAAGCTGATCGTAACATTATGTTTTTGGTTCCGATACACCTGATTCCACTGGCTTAACTTTAAAATGTCTCGTTTCGCTTTAATATCAACTTGCCCTGGTCGTACTGAAATATAAAATAATCCGCCTTTAAATGTTGTTTTTTTACCTAAATTCGTATGATGAGCTTGTCCTCCTTTTGATTAGGAACTGTAAATTGTCATCCCAAGGGCTCGGATCTGCAAGGTCAATGATCTATTTACCAACGATCTACATAGTTGCAGATGGCCTTCCGTAAGTCATCACAAATTTTTGTCATTTATATTTTGTTCAAACTTTCTTCCCTATTTCTCTAAACTAGAATAACTAGGACTGCTTATTGTTAATAAAGAAGGCTACAATGTCAAGAACAATTGATACAGAATTGTTGCCACACGTTTTTATTGTTATATTTGATTCTTCCATATTTCAAATTTTCTATCACAATGTAAGCAAAATAATCAGGACAAAGTCAGTGAAAAGGCCTATTCTCGATTGAAATTTCCTTTAAAATCATGCAGTTTTCCCAAATCCCAAAAATCCTACTTTACACCAGCTTTTACACTTCCCAAATTAGCAATTTTAGTGATATTTTTTTCCAAAATCAAGAGGCTAAGGCCTCTTCCCATTTAATGTGAGAAAAAAACACTGAAAGTGTACCCTCCATCAATAAAATTTAATGATTCATTTACTGATTGATTTAATGATTGATTTAATGATTGATTTAATGATTGATTTAATTATTCATTTCTTAGGTATTATGTGCCTTTAAAGCAGCATGCCTCCAGATGTTAATTTTCATGAAAATTTTGAAAATGTATTGAAAAGTAAAATATTGTGAAGTGAACAATGAAAGTAATATACACATTGCAAACCGCACTTACAATCCACGTAAATTTCATAGTAATGCAGTATAATTATAGTGATTGATCAGATTGCAAAATCAGCCATTAATTGCTTATTACATGTAAATACTTGATTAGATTCTATAGATTGAATTTCTTGAATATTTGGTCATTTGAGGATCCCTTTTAATCCAATAAATTTTTTTGCGGGAAAGAATTCTATATGTTTTGACAAAGTAGATAAACAAAAGCAGGGGGCTCTTTTAAAAAGACATATAAAGCAACTTACTTTGTCTTACTCTAAAGTCTATAGTTTGGTATATTTTAGCTGACACCTCTTTTGTAGGATCGAACCCGAACTTGTTCCACTGTCCCCTCCATGGGCCATCAAGCCAATAGAAGCACATGGCGGGCAGGAATATTTTGAGTTTATCACTACGGATACCCGTTTTATCCTCCATCTCTACCTTCAAATAAAGTGGCTTCTCTTCAAACAACTGAAAACAAAACAACTTCTCTTCAAACAACTGAAAACAAAACAACTTCTCTTCAAACAACTGAAAACAGAACAATTTCTCTTCAAACAACTGAAAACAAAACAACTTCTCTTCAAACAATTGAAAACAAAAAAACTTCTCTTCAAACAACTGAAAACAAAACAACTTCTCTTCAAACAACTGAAAACAAAACAATTTCTCTTCAAACAAATAAAAAACTTATAAACTAAAATTGATATAAAATCAAATTAACTTCCCTTCAAACAACTACATGTAAAATTAAAATCAATACTCTTCAAACAAGTGCATCTTGAAACAACAAATATTAAAACAATTTATCTTAAAACAACTGAAATATCACAAATTATCCTCTTAACAATTGATCGCAAAAAAAGTCACAGTGATAAATAAATATCAGAAAATCAGGGGAGGTAATTACAGAAACATTCAGCACAATGCTTAAGGGAGACAACTCTTAAGAGATACATATCCATGAATTGTGTGAAACATCAGGGGAGATAACTAATGGAATATCTGGTGTTGAATTTAAAGGAGGTAACAAAAGGGAAAAACATCAAGATGTTGGGTGGAACATTAGGGGAGATAACTAAAGGATGATATATTCAGATGTTTTGTGGAACAACTAGGGACCTTATCATACAGACATCCAGATGACATACAGAGCATAAGGGGCAATAACTACAGAAATGGGGAAGAAATTTCCGAAATTTAAAAAATATTTTGAGATCATTATCATATCTACAGACCTCGATGAGCATTTTCTCTAATTTAGGATCAACAAAATCTCCCTGAGTTCTTTTCTTAGCCTCTGGTATAGGGCCTGCAGGAAGCTTGTCTCCAAAATTGACAAATATAGTAAATATTGACCTCCTCTGACGAACTGTAAAATATAAAACAGACATCTTTAATATAATTGTCTTTACTAGAGGTTTTGTGCACAATAAGGTAAAGAACAATAGATCAAGTAAAGTTTTCAATTACAAAGATTTGCACACTTTTGTTCGTACTCCTCACAATGATTACCTTCCTTGGCAGATTATAATCACTGTCTTGTGTTTTGTTAACTTGTATTTTAATTTTTACTTTTATGACTTAAAGGGTTTTTTCCACAAATTTATGGTCTTCAATAAGGCCCCCACGGTCAAACGTTTAAACGGATTCGTTTCGATTTTCATTCCTAAACGTTTACGATATTTTTTACCGTTTAATCGAAATGACCATATTGTCTTACAAAATATATCTTAATCATTGCCTGTAATCACGGCTTTTATCAATCCAAATTGGTTTATTCCAAATTAAAAATGGAAAATGGGTGTTTACATCCCTCCGCACAGCATCACCATGCAATAATCGCTGTGGCATAATACATTTTTGATCTTTCAAAAGAGCGAAATGGGGACACAATGCAGAAAATGTGTGCCGACACAATCGTGATGAGCCCTTGACATTATTTGTTTGTACATGTATTAAAAATTTAAAGTATGTCATCATTTGTCGACTCAAATATATTGTGTAGTGTAATACATAGAATTACCACCGTTTAAACGGTATCGTTTCGGTTCTTAGCAATCGTGTAAACGTTTACAAAAAATTGTAAACGTGGGAGCCTTACAAAAGACATTTCAGTATTCAGTCAGTACATATTTAAGTAAATAAATTATTTTTGAAATTTCCCTTACAATGATGAATGCTTATGTCCAGATGGAAAGATGGACTAGTCCATTTATGATATGTAGAGGGTGTTAAGGGTTTAACGGATTATACACATACTTGTTCCAATTAGATTGGGAGGTCTGCCTGTATCCGGATTTATATAATCTGGCCTATGTTTCATTTCCTGTTTGTAATGGAACTCGCACGGTCTATCTACACGGGCGAACATCACTGGGGGGATGAAGAGCGGCACGTCTGCGTTCATGTACTCTTTCCTGGGCACCAGCTTATTCATACGAACTTCCTCGTATATACTTTCATGACTTCCATCTTTGTTCGTTTTCATAGGTAAATACTGATAGTCTACCATTGCTGAAAAAATAAATTTGGTTCGCTTATTGTTTAAGCCCCTACACGTATTTATAGTAGGTGAATTACGTAAACAATATGAAAATATCAGCCAAAGATGTTGTAACAAACAAAAAGTATGAAAAAATCATTGTATTTCATTTAAAAATTTACAAAAGCATCAGGAAAATACCTCTGCGTTCCCATGATGGCTACTAAACTGTAATATGCTAATTAGTGGGCGGGATAATATGACATCATGCTAGCTCATAGCCTCGTAAAATCTATAAAATCTTACCGAGAACATGACTAGTTACTGGAAAACCATATGTTTTTATCTTTTTTAGCAATAGCATGTCACCTTATGCCATAACCATTAGGGGTCAATCTTGAAATATATAGTTAATTCATCGGAAGTTGATTGACATTACATAATGTCACTGTAATACTAGGATCTGGTATTAAACATTACAATTTAGCAGGTAATGTATAAACTTCAGGCGCTTTTAATGAAAACAATAAATTTTAAAACAATAAATTTTAGCAGTGTGACTTAACATTTTGTAAAAAAAATGTAAAGCTGGAAAAATACATCACTGAAGATTTAACCCCCCCCCCCCATTATTTCAATAATAATGCATTGTTTTGGGTTTAAACATTTAATGATGAATTTTTTACTAGGGGTAAGAGTCCTAGAAAGACAAATGTCCCAGATTTTCAAAATCGTTATTATGAATATTGGAGTCACAAACTGGAATGAGTTTGACAGTACAATTTACAGGGGGCTGAAGCCAGTGAAATTTATCATTCCAAATCCATAACAGTATACAATAGAAACTTTAAGTTGCAAATTTGTAACCAGTCCTATTTCCCCCTTATGGCTGAGGGTTTTGTCTTTAAAGGTTAAGGCATCAAAAGTGCCGCCATTGTATATCCCTGTTTGATTGTATTAAGAGGCAGTCAAAATAAAATGGCTTCAAATAACTGGAGTCTATGCATCTCTTAGCTCTAGCAGGTGAGGTAGTTTTGAGCCCTGGTGTTCCTTTAAATTTGAAAGTAATTGCTTATTTACAGGCATGGTCAAACGGATATTCTCCATATGTGCCGACTGACCTATGTCTGCATTCACGTCATGGGTAGAATCTGTTGGGGCCAGCAGGTTTACAGAAAAAAAACAAGCATTTTTAGAGCTACATTTGACACAACATGACAACACATCTAAATGCCTCCGCCTTAAAGTGGGGGCACAAAAATCTAAATTTCATCACCAAATAAAGCAATCATAAATGTTTTATTTAGTATACAAAACCGAGTCCATAAAAATCGATGAATTACCTTGAAACTTGTACGTTGTATACACACGACCCAATATTTCTACTTTATATTCTTCATGACCGTCTGATTTTCTCCGTCTTCTCGTAACTTTCATTAATAGGTTCGAAACATTGGTTCTGAAACATACATGTACATTGGTTATAAATCATACATATCAAATGTACTTTTCATCCGAATCATTCATAAAAGTGTTTCGGCAATATCAATTCTGAAGCATCCATATTCATTTATAACTTCTATTGACTTTTGTACTCCATGTACATGTAGTGGCTGTACATCATTTATATAATTATACAAATAATAAATAATTTATAAATATGTTTAAAAAGTCCTATAACAATAAATATTTCCTCCATATAAATATGTAAAATCGCAGTCATCTGTACTTTAAATAACTCATTAACATACTGTAACACAAATCAGGAATTTTCAATATTCATAAACCACTGACTCTTCACTCTGGGAAATTTTTTAGGTGAATTCAGCTGAATATTAAAACTATACTAGTCATTAAAGCAGCACACCTCCAGATTCCTGTTAATTTTCAATAAAATTTTGAAGATGTATTAAAAATTAAAATATTGTGAAGTGAACAAAGAAAATAATTTACACATTGCAAACAGCACTTGCAACCAATAAAAATTACCAAAAAGAGGTCAAAATATGCAAAAATAACCCTTACTGTGTTAGTAACGCAGTAGAAATATGGTAGAAAATACTGCTAAAAACGGTCATTAATCATACAAAACATGGAAATTTTTACTTTTATCTTAAATCTTTTTGCTTTTCTCAAAAGCTCAGTTAAATTATTTTTTTGAAGTTTGATGTTTTTGAGATATTTTGGCTCACATGGAAGCATGCAGCTTAAAAAACTTTACCTATCACCATATGTAGCCTTGCAGTAAATATCTTCTGGCCTCCATTGTAACGGTAGTCTTTTGATTGGATCTGAATATATCTGGAAAATAGCATTATATAATAAGGAGCACTGCTCCTGAATGTCTATGAATAAGTTTGTCTTTACTGCTCAGATAAAATGGTGAGAAGTGTAGTGATTATAGGTATGCTGTAGTATGCTTGCCCCCCCCCCCCCTTTCCAGGTAGTCAGACCTAATTTTAAGTCAGCACCTGTGGAATTTTCTGTCAGATTAACATATTACAATAAAACATTAAAACCAATAATGCCATTTGATGCATTTTGCATGATGTCCAATAAGAATGTAACGGTTTACCGGTATACCGATATATTGCAGTATAAAAAAATTAATTTCGTAAAGCAGTACGATTTTCGGAAATCCAATATTTTACAGAAATCATAATTTTCAATTAATTGCCTTCTTATTTCTAAAAAATTTCTCATAAAATCTTTAATTGGTGAATTTTAATGGCACCAACATACAATAAAAATATACAACATTGAACTAGTACACTTTAAAGTTAATAAGCAACTGCGTAATTACATAAATGGCCCAGATGTGAAAGGTCACAAGCGATTAGTTGTGACACTTTGGGAACATGTTGAGATGAAAGTGCCAATGTGTTAATTGGAATAATTTATGTCTTTAATACTCCTACTTGAAGCACCATTAATTACATGTGTAATCAACTGATGTTAGTAGCGAATTAGAGAAATGAAAGATGGCCCGTGAGGTTGACAAACATTAAAGTTTAGGTAAGTCCACTTGTCAATTGACTAAATAAATAACAGTTTGAAATATTAAATCGGGCGACAATTAAAATAATGATTTCACTAATGATAGTTAAAGCCACTGATTTTCTGCTTTCACAGGGTTAATATTTACATTTCAATGCATGTAAAGTGCTTAAGAGTCTAATCACAAAACCTATTAAAATAAAAGATATTCTTCACTGTTAAAAAGTACTTTGTACCGGTGAATATTTCATTTTTTTTAGGTGAAGTTAATTTACAGTAATGTTTTCTTTTGCTTTTGTATTTGCAGATCACCAGAACTCAGTGGAAGCTGGAAAGATCTTGCCTCAGGCATACATGTATCAGTGAGAGTGAATAACAGAGATAAGAACTGATATAGGCAAAATAGGGCCTCCCAAGCTCATTTATTATACAACTTTAATTGATAATTTTGATTACATTTATGTTGTCATGTGTATTTATTTAAATGGAATTTGAAATCCACACTTTTATATGACTATTTTACACAATAAACAGCTGTAATAAAATAAAATATCATATGTGTTGTAATCATGATGATATATAACTGCTAGCATATCTTAACAAAGATAGGCATAATTTTTAAGTTATAGGTAACCTTGGCTACAAATTTGGTGCCATTTGCCCAAACTTTTCCTGATTGGCGAATTTGTTGGTGCAATCTAAAATAGACCCATGGGGAACCCTGTTTCCTAGATTACTTTCTATTTAGTCCTTACATTTTATTAAGTTTCTACTTAGAATCTATACATATATGAATAATATGTAATGTTACACCATCTTTACATCAATACATATACACAACAATACGTATTGCAATACGCTTCTGCAAGATGGCAATATATTGCAATACGGATTTTGCCGTATTGTTACACCCCTAAATTGCCATGTAAATGATTTAATCTATCTATCTTCCACTCAAACCTATTGCTGGGACATAGACATGTATAAGCATCAAAAAGGCAAGAAAGTTTAATATCCGGTTAACGCCCCCTGGGGGCATTTGCATTTCCTTCTTTCTTTTACCTCTGTTTGTGCGCGATTGTTATTTTCATCTGTGTCATTAAGACGCTTGCATATTGTAATTTGTCACGTGATACATATATATAGAAGTTAAAATCTCAAAATAATCAAATGATGCTTAACCCCCTCCCATGAACTAAAATCGCCGCCCATGTAAAATAATACAATTTAGAAAGTTAATTATTATTTAGATAATTGGATAAAAAACCATTATGATCACATAAGGTCATACGCTTGCTGGACCAATAATATACAAAAGCTAAAATATTTCTGAATTTCGTCCACCACGAAGTTCAACATAATTATATCATGTAATGAGTAAATTGACAAGTATAAATAAGTTGTAGCGGATTTCACGTGGATGAGAAAGCACGGTTTTGTCGTGTTTTTCTTTTTTATTTCGTGGGCAACAAAAGGGATACATTATGTGAACTAATAGTACTTTTTAGGTACTGATTTAAATCTTAATTTTGTAATGGAAGCTTATTTATTTTTTGGCGTTATTTGATGGATTATGTGAAATTCATATAAAATAAACAACGATACGCATATATTTTCGTCCCGGGTAAGTTTTGTTTTAAATATAGGTTCATTCCGTAACAAAGTATTTTCAGACATTTCCTTCAAAACAATGCCCAGTCACATTTGGTAGAATAATTAACGGAATGAATGTTATTAAAGCTGAAAGTATGGTCAATATCGACATAATATATATTGTCAAAAGGCAAATGCCCCGGGAGAGTTTCCGACTATGATAAACTAGCGTAGGCAAACGTCCCGGGAAAGTTGCCTTTTTGTTGTAAATGTCATTCATTCCGTAATATATATATTCAGATACTTCCCCCAAAACAATGCCAAGCCCCATTTTTTAAATTATAAAGGCCCCCGAAGAAAACCCTCTTCCCGGGGAGAACTTCCCCTTCAGTAGCATTTTAATATAGAATGAAATATATCCGTCGCTATATATATACTCTGGTTTTCTGCCCCGGGTGAGATAACCAGAGTATATATATAGCGAGTGATATTTATAAAGCATTACTTACATGCTACTGAAGGGGAAGTTCTCCCCGGGAAAAGGGTTTTCTTAGGGGGCTTCAATGCTTAAGAAAATGGGGCTTGGCAATCTTTTTGGGGAAGTGTCTTAATAACTTCTTTTTACGGAATGAACACATTTACCGTAGAAGGCAACTCACCCGGGAAAGATTCCTTATATGCAGATGTAATGGTAGGAATAGCACCCGGGTGATTTACCTTCTAGCATATATGTATACGTTCATTCCGTAAAATGTCATTCAGATACTTCCCCCAAAACAATGCCAAGCCCCATTTTTAAATTATAAAGGCCCCAGAAGAAAACCCTCTTCCCGGGGAGAACTTCCCCTTCAGTAGCATTTTAATATAGAATGAATTATATCCGTCGCTATATATATACTCTGGTTTTCTGCCCCGGGTGAGATAACCAGAGTATATATAAGACAGCTACAATATTTTTGCATATATATTATACAGCATGTCACTGAAGGATAAGATTTCTCAGGGAAGAAAATTGGATTTGCAATCTTTTGGGTGAATAGTGTTAGTGAATTCAATTTACGGAATGAACATATGTTGTGTACAAACAGTGTAAGAAATTAGGATTTGAATCGACTAGGCTGGTTGGACTACCAGATTGGAATATTCACTAGCCCAAAAAACATTTCACTAGCACGATTAACTTGTTCTAAACAGTTGTTTATATTGCCTCTGAAAATACAGTAGCCTGGTCGGGCTTGTTACTGTGAAAAGTTGGTAGCCCGAGGAGAAATTTAGTAGTCAGGGGCTATCGGACTACTGCTAATTTCGAACACTGTACAAAGGAAATCATTACAATCATTCATTATTAACTGGGTAAATTCACAGGTACTATTTCTCCCGTAGTGAACCCTTTTGAAATCTTGTTTTATGTGTTACTACCATATATGGATAAATAGGGTCACAATAATTTCGAGACTCTCGCGATTGCTATTGTGCATAAAGTAAAAAATGTCAAACAGAAATCGTGAAATTTACGGACGTTACTTCTGGACATTGAATTTTTAAGAATATTGATTTTTGCCTTCGTTTATGTTAACGGGTTAAATGCTGTTATATTTCTTGACTGGGTTCATTTGATAGTTTATGCACGTGACCTTCCTGCTCACAGGCATTTTAAAGCGTTATTTATACTTTTTGAAGGCAAGCGTCTACATGACCCAGATCACACCTAAACGGCAAATGCCCCCAGGGGGCGTTAACCGGATATTGCCAAGAGTTGGTTAAAAAGAGGATAAAAAAATATCAAAACTGTTAAAAACAGGGGGCTGGAAAACTTAGGTGAGACATGTTCAAAGTAACTATGACTGCACTGAGCTGCTCTAGGGTAGGGAGTAGGGCAACTGCAGGAGGTTGGTGGTTCCAGTGGTATACTGTCCTAAGAAAAAAAGAGAATTTATACTATTCTGAATCTAGTGTTAATAACTTATAACAAAGGGGATGGCAATGTTAATTTCAGTGTCGCGAAAATATGTGACATTTATACCTTTTCCAAGTTTTTTACTCCCCCAATAGTACTTAATGCCTTTTCATGGTTCTGAACTAAAGCTGGATGTTCAACACATATGAAACGATTGGTTTTATTGTATGACACATCAATTTTGTTGTTTTTATCTGTCCAATTTGACATTTTTTTCTGTTTTAGAAGTACGAGTTATCGTTCGTTACATCAATCCATAGCCTCTATTAAAATACGAAAATGAATTTGAAACTTATAATTGTCTTTGACGCTAAATATCCCAAAATGTTCATCATTTTTATTATTTTCTTATTGTATTAATGGTGTTATTTTATTTATATCATCAAAAAGTCAGCACTTATATCAATTTTACTTTTTGAGTTAGAGACTTTATTTCCAAGATGTCTGCGCCCATGACGGAAACTTGCGCAATGCAACTTTAAATTACGTTTAGGTTCTTTTTAGAATTTAGTCAATTGCTTCATAACAAAGCGATCACTTAAAGCGTTTGAGCTCCCTTTTTAAAGGTTTTGTTTAAAACAGTGCTATTTATATTTCTTGACTGTTTGTTTTCACAAAAATAGAAATAATTTACCAATCTACTGACTACTGTATTTTTTAGTTTATTTTTTATGCCCACCATGGAGCAAAACAGCTAAATATAAGATATATTGTTTATATATCTGTGTGCCCACGAAGGATCAAAGAATTTTTGAATAAGTAGGCATAAATGTCTACAACATCAAGACGATGTGTTGCGTTCAAGTAGTCCAACTAATTGGACTTGCAGGCTGTCAACCAATTCCTATATTCCTACAAAACTCCTATATTTTGGGTCGGAATCCTATATTTTAAAAAACCTCCTATTTTTCCTATATTCTCCTATATTTTGATTATTTTTCCTATATTTTTTTTAAAAATATATTGCCGAGGAATTCAAAGAGATTTAAATTTTGGTACTGCTTTTGGCCTTTTGTATTTTACAGGTAAGAGAATGTGTATGCCTGCATTAGCATCACATTACTATGCTCAAGGCTGCTGTGCTCCACATAGCCATCTGCATGGTCACCATGAAAAGCAGTGCATCAGTATGTCAACTTTATTTCAGGTGACCATTCAGATGATCATGTCATGCATTGCTGTAACTTTCTGCTGATGCTGTGGTTCAAAGCTAATGCAGGCTGTCCAGCATCCCTAAAATTCCTAAAAAAAGTGAAATATTCGAAGGGAATTCCTAAAAATGCCCTATTTTTTCACTGAAATTCCTAATTATTTTTTATCTTTTGTACTAAACATACTTATAACTTGTAACCCTGTAACTCAAAGTCGACCATCAAAAATGATTTGGCCATGATTTGCCAACTCAAAATTGATGACATTGAAATGGTTTCGTTTCAACTAAAACTTACTTTGACTATGTCAGTAACATTGCTATTTCATAATCAAAGCATTTGTTGATAATCATATTGACAGTTAACAGCAAAAACACTACCATATCATTTTCCTGAAACTTAAATCATAACCATAAGAGTCCAATTATTCTGGAATATTTTGACACTGTTTTGCCAACTCCAGATATCTTGAATTTTATGTTTGTTCATTTTATCCAAATTTTCTAAAGTGGTCCATTTATATCATATCATATTTGAAAATGATCATTATGAAGCTGTTTGAACAATCTTAATTAAAAACATGTATATAATATAGTTGTTAAAAATTAATGCTACAATTTGTTTACTTCACAACTCTTTTATTTAAATCCTGCATAATATCAAAAAACATTGTAAAGTACTGAATTGGTTAACATAGACTTTGAAAAATTAATTCTTCCTGCATACTTATTATTTTTTTCGTATCTTTGTAGGAGAAATTGCTTTATTTTGCCACAAAAGTCATCAGTTTCATTTCAGTTCTTGTTCTTTTTCAATATCATTATGGTGCAATTTAGGAAAAACGGCAGACTCATATAATTAATTCACACTCAAAAAAATTTTGCAGTTCAGTAATTATAAAGCTCATATCCAATTTACAATGTACACACATTTTGCAATTATGTGATCTAGATAAACTGCAATTGAATGGTCTGTGTTGATGAAACCGTTTTTTGATGTGCAATTCTTTGTGTTGTTTATAGAATTTCCTTGCCCATTTATTCAATGACTGTACTAAGGCAAATGTCCTTTTTAACCTACTTTTACAAAAAAATTCATTTGTCCATTAATTTATGATTCAAAAAGCTGCATTGTGCAAGGAATTTCACTGTATAAGAATTCCTTTTAGAACTTGTGGTTTATATACATTCCCAAAACGGGTAGGTAGAAACATGTTCTTTTTTACATGTTTCAACCATATTTTAGAAAATATGGTTGAACATGATTGACTATGATATTAAACGCAGGGGAGGCAGATGAACCTGTTAGTCCACACACTGATAGCACCTTTGCTCTATTACTAAACTAGAGCATTATTTGTGAGTTACTTTTGTTATGTTCAAATGTGCAAAGGTTAGCCACATCGTGTTTCTTTTGGGACCTTAGTTTATTTAGTCATTAATTTATGCAAATTTTTTAGCCCTTAAATTTCTATTTACCTACCCTAAAATTCCAAATTTTTAGCCCTAAAATTTCTGAAATATTACTGTAAAATTCGCCTCATTTTTGTTGGAAGGTTTTACATGGACAGCTGCTAATAGTTTCTTCACTTACTATTGGTAGACATTTTATTGTAGAAACAGCATGTGTAAAAGTAAGAATAATTTATATTTATATAAGCATTGGTAAGTTAAACAATTTAAGTTGAAAACTCCTATTTTTATGCCTCAAAATGGTCCAAAAACTCCTATATTTCCTGCTAAAATATTCCTATATTCCTCCTTTATTTTGGATAAGACCTGGTTGACAGCCTGGACTTGTCAAACATGTCAAAGAGACATGGAAATAATTTTGGACAGGCAATGTCTTTAATAGTTCTGGTTTCCAAAACTTTATAAGCTGCTTTTTAATATATTTGAGTTTCATCTGATGCGGGATTTGTGTTCACGTCATGTCATGTCATGATATATAAACAGGTACGCTGAAGACCTTAAGCTATGTCTTTAACAGCATCTTTGAGGCTGCTTGTGTTTACCTGAATGTCATGTATCGAAGTGTTAAGGCAATATAGAGTAGTTTAGGTGTACTTCGGATATGCGCTTTTGGATAGTCATTTTTTTCAAAGGACATTTGACATTTTCTTTTGTTCTTCTTATAGCCCGAACGGGCTATTATAGCTCAAACGAGCTATATAGCTCGATCGGGAATATTCCCCAGCCTGTTTAACAGGCTGGTGAAAATGCCTGATCGGGCTTATGACATAAAAAATCATATTTCTAGAAAAGTGATAAAGATATTTCTTTTAAACTTTGTTTATTGAGGATAATATTTGACATAAACAGAAAGAAAAATAAATGGCCACTGTCTTTGAAATTAGTCTTTGATACAAGACAGTACACCATGCAGCTATTATTACATTTTAATAGTCAGAAATTTACAGTGTAAATTTTGTTAGGATTTTTACGCAGTTTACGATGCAATGCTCAACTTTTTTTTGTTAACAGGTTTGGTAACAGGTTTACACAGACTTTATAGCAAGAAAACATGATGGCAGGTAAAACAAAGGTTAAAGTAGAAAACGATGGAGAATTGAGGAAGAAGATAGAATATCAAGTGGCCTGCGAGGAGAGAGCTCATAGAATTGTAGAGAGACTTATATATAATCCAAATACTCAGGAAGAATTAATCAACGCTGTATGTACTGTATACAATTGATTATCTGGTATTTTTTGTAATGTTTCATAATGGGCTATTTGCCAAAACAAAAAAGCTCAATTTAGATTAATGTCTCCCTACCTACCCTTTGCAGGCAACCTTAGATGTATCAAATTTACTTTACTATATATGTATAAATTTACAGTTATAAAGGAAAATTCCACCTACATACATGATACTATACATACTCCTTTTTGTGGTCAGACTATCAGAGACATGAACAAATTTTTTATTAATTTAATGTTAAAAATAATGGTAGAGCTGATTTTGATCATTCATTGATTTATTATCAAAATATTAAAAAATATGATCTCGATTTAGTCATACCCTTGCTTAGGGCCTAGATCTTTAGTGTCAGTAGGTGGAAGGGTAAAAAAAGGTTTTAAAAGAAAGAAAAAAGTTTGGCCAAATTGAAAAAAAAACAATAAAAACAGAGCACATGTATTCAAGGTGTCGAGACATGTTGTTTCTGGCATGCAGGTAAAAGTAAGCAACTGTCAGAGAAAAAACATTTTTTTCTTTCAGACTATCTTGAAGTTTTTTTTCCCCCTCTGCAAAATTATTTGCAGAATATTTACACAGATCGTCAGTATGAAACATTGATTGAGCAGGATAGTATTAAATGACAATTTGTTGCAGATTAAATATACATGTACCAAAGAATTTGAAAAATGGAATTATCTCAATGGTCGAAATGTAATTGCAAAGGTATTCTCAAATTTTAAGTAAATTTTTTTTATATATTTTAGAATTGTATTAAATTACTATGTATTCTTATTAAATTTCAGTTACATTTTATCACTCCAAGCCATTATTCAGACATTGTTGAGGAAAGAGCTGTCTCAAAACTTTGCGGGTACCCGCTGTGTCCTAATGATTTATCAAATGTGGGTATAAGTCTTATTGTCAATTTATCTTTATTTTAGATTAATTTATACATATTCATTTTTAGTATAATTATGTCAGAAGCTATGAACTAAATGAAATATTCTCACATCCTTTCTTGGAACAAACCAGTACTAAGCAATGAGTGTTAAGTTCCTTGCTCTAGGAAACAACGGCTTGCCCCTAAGAGGGTTCGAACCAGATGACAGAATACATAAATAGTCTTAGATGTTTAAATATTTTGTTTTTTCTAAATGAATGATTTGTGACAGGAGCAGAAAATGTGTTGACTCAAGGACTGGG